GCCGATTGGTCCCCGCCCCGTTAGGCGGGAGAACTACATTTCCCAGAAGGCTCCCGGCGCCGGCCCGCCCCGTCCCGCTCCCAGCGGAGACCGGCGTTTTCCTCAGCCCCGGCGGCCGCCAGTCTTCTCCTATCTCCAGCCCTCCGTGAGGGCGATGGTCCGTCCTGACCCTGCGCACAGGCTCTGTCGACCTCTGAGCCCTTATTTTAACCCCAGTCTTTCCCGGTGTCACCACCACCGGTGCCTCCCTCTCCTCCACGTCCAAGCCAGGCGGCCTGCCTGGCGGCCGCCCTGCCCCGCAGCAGCCGCTGGTGATTGTTACAGAGGCATTAAGGTTCCGGCCGAGCGGCCGTGTAATGGCTGGAGCACTTAAAAAAAAAAAGAAAAAAAAGAAGCAAATTAAGTTTTCTGCTATTGTTTGCCTTGCTTCGCCCTTCGAGTTCCTGAAGACAGAAGCGAGCCTTCCTGCTCGCTCGGACGCTGCGCGGTGTACTGGGCCTGAGATCCCGAGCCACCCCAAGTCTGAAGAAGCAGTCCCTGTAATCCTTTGAGAGTACCAGGCTTCCTCTCCTTTTCATGTTGACACATGCCAGAAAAGGTTAATGTTGACTGCTTTTGTTGCGAAGCCAAGCTGTGCCCCCCTCACCCCACCAGGTCCCTTGAAATTAGGCCCCTGCTTGCTCAAAAGACACATGCACCCCAGCGAACAACTCTATAAACATGGTCCGTGTTTCAAGTTCGCAGTGAAACCTGAGGCTAGGCATGTTTCATGTTGCTGCATGTTTCTTTTTATTCGTGCAACTCTATTCACAAGAGTTTCCCATGACTTAATCTCTCTTACATGCAATTGTTAGGGCTAAAGGCTTTGTCATGGGATTTTCCCCCTGAATCACAGACCTTCCTCTTGGAGGGATATGCTTTCTGGATGGCAGAGACAAAGCACTGCTAGAAGCTTTTTTTTCTATGAGCTTATATGCTTTTCAGTTGTCGAAGACGAGGCAGTTTGCACGCTGCTTCCTATTTGCCTGTCCAAAAACGATGAATCAGTTCTCGCAGCTCTGCCCCTGAAATAATAATAATAAAAAAGCAGGGATGATCAGTATGTTAAGCAAGAGGCATCAGCTAATAAAATGGAAGGAATAGCTCGCTATGAGCTCGCCTAGGTTATCTCCTGTGATCCCCTCCCCCATCCTTGCCTTCAAATTCTTGAAGAAGGTGGTGAAGCGCCTCGTACCACCTTTGGCACTATCCCGGGGCCATAAAGCTGGCTTTAAAAGCCAGTTGGGGGTTTCCCTGGTGAAGGGAAATATTGAGTGGCAAAGAGCCAACATAGCTCACTTAGGCAACCCTCTGTTGCAACATGAGTGGAGGAAGGAGATTAGACAGAGCCCTGATGCTGATTCAGAAAGGCCAGAATCCTTTTAACCAGCAAATTAAAGTTACAGCTGCATCTTTTCCTTCCACTAGATTACCCCACACTACCCATCCTACTTTATATCACTTAAGAAGTAGAGCGCTCAGCTTCGAACCAGGCTAAGCACAAGTTCCCTGCCTGAACACTTAAGAGCTTCCATATTTTAGCACGCAACAACTCAAAATATGCATTTCAGTCTGCTTTTCTGCTATGGCTATGCTGTCTTCCTGGGTGAATACGAACATGCAAATTGAATGGGAGTCTGTCAGCAAGAACAGTTATGAATGGAATTGAATCTTATATATATGCACCTATATATAGTGCACAAGCTTATGATATTTCGAACTGGTTTTAACAGCTAGAAGGAAGTACTTTACAGAGCAAATAGTGAACTCTTGGGGTTTACTGCCACAGGACGCTGTAAAGCAGAGTTTAGCAGGTTCAAAAAAGGATTAGACAGATTTGTGTTTCATAAAGAGGTACTAAAGGGATGTATTCTTCGCCATCCCTAATCTAACAGTTTGGGATACCGGGGATGTATGAGAGGAGCAGAGCACAGAAAAAGGCCAAGTTCACATATCCTCCCTAAAACCCATCTCCTCCTGCCGCTCCCAGAGACAGAATACTGAATTAAATGGATCCATGGTCTGACCCAGCGGGGCTTCTCTTTTTTTCATGTTGTCTATCAGGTCACCATTTTGACCCCCAAAGACTCACAAGCGAATTAAGATTTTTAATTAAAACTTCCTTGGTTAAAGTAAAGGCGGTTGACCTGTGTACTAGACCAACTCATCCTCGCTAACTGCAGGTTACTGTTTTTCCTAGTAAGTGATCATTTTTAAGCGATTCTCTGAGACATCCTGATGGTTTTATTGCTAAACCATGGTGATGCACACCAAGGAAACACTACCCAACATCAGAAATTGTCTTACACAATAACCATTGGCAGTTCCCTGCTCAAGTGAATTATATTTATTAAAAGAAGGGCTGTGCTTCTGAGATCCAGAGAGACTTTGAGGTATATAAATAAACTGGGTTCGGTGATCAGGCAATAGTTTAAAAAATCACTGCTGATGTCAGTGTGACTAAAAAAGACATCTAACTCATGGGGTGATTTTGTACCATGTGCTCATATTTGTAGTGATGTCAGCACATCCCAAAGAGGTGTTTATTCCCTCTTTCTAGAACTGTAAATATTTTAATTTGGGCAAATGGAAATTTGTTCCTCTGAAAGCCTGCCTGAAATAAGAATAAATCTTGCAACCTGTTGGTATCAAGACTCAGCGTTTTGCTGAAATTGCACTACTGTCCATTTGTGGAGTCTTTGCAGATTCAGAGCCTTTGAGATCAGTTCATTCATGGATGGGAAAACAAGGATGCAGTTAAGGTATTTTCTTGTTTGTTTTCCAAATGTACCAAGATGCCAATTGCTTTAATAGAAACACTAACTCATTTGCCGTGTGGGGAAAGATTGTGCAAGAACAGCCCGTCTTTCAATACCCTGGTTTCTTTGTAGAACCAATAAAGAAATTGCATTGTCCTATACCCTTTAATCTGATACCCAAGAAATATTTCTGGAAATACAAGAAGAAACTCCCTGTCTTTCAGTTTTTTAGACTGTTGATACTGAGACAGAGCTTGTCATTTATATCCATCAGTTAAATTATTTGTCACTGAGGAGTGAAAAAAATGTTTATTTACATAAGATTCTATATCTTATTGTCACTTATATAACTATGATAAAATAGTTTAGTATTCTCATACTAAATCCAAAACACAGCACTATACCAGCTACTAGGAAGAAAATTAACTCTATCCCAGACAAAACCAGGACAGTATACCAGATTTTTTTTCCACATTAGAGAAATAAACTATATATGCTAAACCTCTGAAAGACCTGGTAAACACATGAACAGCACATGCTAACAAGTACAGGGATTGGTCACCTCATTGGTATGATTAAAAGAAAATTCTGTTTAAAGTACAAGCTCTTTGAAATCTAATTTTTAAAATCTAATCAGTGTTTAAACAAAGCACAGCACATTGGGAGTCTGATCTGTGACAACTTGCTACACACTGTATAATTAAATGTTGATAAGGGGGTTGCTCTCATATTTGCTAAATGTTCTACTTTTTGACAAGAGGAGCACCTTCTGTAGTTACAAATGCTTGAAGTCACATCTACATGGGGAGTTCTTCCTCTTTAGCTATTGCAAATTAACTTCTCAAGTAAAATGGACTCAAAATAAGTTAATGTGGAATAATCAGCTCTTGTCCTGTGCATACACACACATGAAAACTTACAGCTCTATCTAGCCAAACTAACTTTCCCATGTAAGCAAAATCTTGAAATAGTACTCATGAAGCTTTTATATTGCTGAATGGATAGGCTATTTGTAAATTTTATTGCATGAAAATGTTCATGCTGCAGCTGGAAATGAGCTACTTCTATTTTCTAGCTGGCTAGTAGAAGGGAGAAAAAAAGTCGGATGCTTCTATACTTCATGCATGTGATTGATAGTTCCAAGTAAGACAGAGTGGAAAACTAGGAATGGTTCAAAAAGGCATTTGAATAACATGGATTTCATGCAGAATTTAAACTAAATACAAAAAAACTGAGAACCAAAGAGCAAGACAAACAAATCACTGATTAAGGAGATGACGAAGAGTGGGTTAAAGTTCAATGCGGTGCGCAAGTGAATAAAATTTAATCTTGCTCCGAAACAACAAACAAACAGAGCGGCACAATATGCCACGTTCAGGAATGTGAGAGCCATGTTGTATCTGGCACTTGAACAACAGAGAATTATTGCTGCTGATATGGTAATTGCAGAGGTACAGAAAAAAGTGGGTGGATCATGTGAAATTCATGAAATACTTGAGGTGAACTAACAGCAGGATTAGTCTTTTTCTTTTAATTGTGTACATGGATCTCTATGCACAACTGGTTTAGTAAAAAAGCATATTGTTCATTCTCAAGAGGTTTAAAAATCCACTTCAGCTCAGTGTCATTTTTTGTTCTTAAGATATTTTGCAACGTGCTTCTCCCCTTTGGCCTACGCAAACAAATATGCCTGCATATGCATACCTATTAGAGCCAGCCAAAAACTGCTGCCTGTAGCTGGCCATTCTGGTAAGAGTATTTCTGGTTGCTTTCCACAACACTTAAAATCATTTTAAACAGTTTTGTCCCGACCCAGATTCTATGGCATGGGCTGTGGTCACACTCAAAACATTTACTAACCTCAGTCTGATACCGTTGTCTTGTTCAAGGGCACAAACAAGGTTTCTGCATAGCTTGAGCACAAACTCAAGGGCTCGTATGGCAAGCTGGATCTGCGTTGTAACTGGGTCAGAGGACTTCCATGATGACCTGGACTACTTAGTGAAATGCCATTGTGTCTCATGTGAAGGGCCAAGTC